CTCAGATGATGCAAGAAATATACAAGTGTTTTAAAACTGCAAGAAAAAATTTACTCTGACTCATATCTCTGTCTCTATACCTATGTTTATATATCTCCCCGAGACAAGGTTTCTCTGTGCAGCCCTGGCTGTCCTGAAACTCGTTCTGTACAAAAGGCTGGCCTTGAGTTAAAAAATCCACCTGCCTTTGCCTCCCAAATGCTGGGATTAAAGGTGTGAGCTGTCACACCTAGCCTCATGTAATCATCTTAACACAGGATTACTAGACTCACTTTGAAGGGGCAGCTAAGGGTGATTTTAGATAACTAAGTCCCACAATGTTGGAGGTGGACACTGGATGAAAGGTGTAGTCATTTGTTAGCATAAGTGTATATCACTGGCTTCCCCAGCAAAGAGTTGATTTTTTCACCTGTATTTCTCAGATATTTTGTTTTGTCTGTTCAAAAAGTTAAATTCTCCTTACTCCATGGGAATTTACGAGCTCACACCATGGTTCTGTTAGTATGTATTGCCCAAGTCCATTTCACAGGTGACTCTTTCAGTAATTGTCAGGAAGGACCCCAGGGCTTCTTTCCTTCAAAATCAAAAATGACCCTAATTCACGTTTTCCAGCCTCTAAGTTGTACAGGCAATGTTTGTGGCTATGCTCGGTGACTGAGTCCTCCAATGAGCACAGGGAGGAACTGGACCTCCTGTTCTAGAGCTTCTCTGCTTCATGAATATCACTAGACTTCCAGTTTGACCTCAGTTGGGAAGATGTTTAGCACTAAGTGTGTTGAGCAGGTGACATCACTTGGCAGTATATTACTGTTCCTGTCTTCCTCCTCTGGGGTTTAATACAAGTTTCATATCTTTGCTGCCGCACGCCTTCCACTTTTGTCCAAGCATCTTTTGGAAGGAAAGCGAAGCTTCACAGTCCTGTTTCCATGCAAAGATTTTCAATACCTTCCACTAACAATCCTCAGAGTTAAGTACATGCTTCTCTTAGATAAGAGTTTATCTTGTACTGCTCTGAAGGCACAGTAGCTCTTCAAATAGCCGAAGAAACAATTTTGAAATTCACACACTTCAGTGTTTTCTCTTTTTTGGAATAATACAACAGCATATAAACAATGCCAAGATAATTATATTACATGCTTAAAATACGCTGACAGATATTTTTGATCCACTCTCAGATATAGTACAATATCTACTTTCAGAGATTTCTGCATTCCAACCGTTTTGTGTGCAGTCCTAGGAAGAGCTCAGTCAGAAAACTTTTATTTGGAGCCATGCTATGGTCACACACACAGACACACACAGACACACACAGACACACAAACACATGCAGACACATGCACACACATGTACACGTGTGCATGTGACAGTTATAATTATGCTTCCTTTCTAAATGGATGGACAGCTAACTGTGTTTCATCCTTTCAAAATGGATGAAAACAAAAGTCTGTGATGTAAGGCAACCTAGAAGACTCTCACATAACCTTGAGGAGCCTGGGACATACACACTTTCAAAGAAATAACCCACACCTGGGGGAAGCACTGCCATATTAGCCTGCACAGAGCCACTTCCAGGTTTTCCACATAAAGTACGTTATCTTTCAACAATCCTGGCTTCACTTATATTCCATTTATTTTATATTTAGAAGAGAATCCTCATCATTCATTGCCCAGCTCTCCAAAGGCAATCTCCCCAATAAACCCTCCCCTGAGTTTCTCCTCTAACTCCCTCCATCCCAGGGCATGGTGTTCAACAATACAGGCTTGGCACACAGCTTTTAAACCTAATTCTACAGCTCATTACTTGCTGATACTGAGCAAAATCACTTAACATTCCTGGGCCTTAATTCGCTAATGGGAACATGATAGAAACATCTACTTCACGGGATTACACTCTTCCATAAGATGAAATAAGTTAATTTCCGAAGTTCATAAAGTAGTACTACCATATAATAAACAGCCAGTAAAACCACACCCTTCTCTACTCCTCTCTCACCATTAGCAGTCTCCACTTGGCAATGATTACTTTGACAGCTAGTGATGCACCTTTTATTGTTACTACAAGTTAAACTTAAGTCAAGTGTTATTGATAGATTTTTAATAGGGATATCTTATTTTCTTAAATAAGCTGCAAGTCTCTGGAGCTTTAGTGAACTCTGATTATTGAGCACATTCTACATGCCAAGAGCTTGGCTGAGTGCTTTCTATAAATATTTTCTGCATTACTCACAATCACCATATAAGACGGCTATTGTTTCCATGCTGTAGATAAAGCAGCACCGACAGAGGCTTGGGGAATACTTTTCTCCAGTTTTCAAAGCTCGTATGTTGTAAAGCTAAGGTAATTCTAAGGGATCATTTTTAATCTGTTTTTCTGAGTGTGTAACACTTATCCATTGTTACAGTCGATACAGTTGTTCAGTTTATTACTGCAGATAACTGTTGCATGATATTTGAAGCACATATGCTCAGAATTTAGCTTTTCACTTTTAATATTCTTTAATTAGAGACACCTTATTTTTCATCGTTAACTTTTTTTTTTAGTTTATCTTGGATTCTAATACACCCTCCTCCTATTACAACGAAGAGAGCACAATAAACTTTTACTATACTCTGCTACAAGCTTTGGTTTCTGTCTTACTATTTTCCATGCATTTGTGCCAATTCTCATAATCTTTATGCTAAGCCTTACCATTTTCTTTCTTTGGGTTAAAGTTGTTTCCACAGTGAATTTCTAGCTTGAAAGAATGCTAGGGAATATTGGTTCCACATCTTTGAATCACCAGGGTAGAAAACTGGGCTCAGGCGATACAGGGAATTGTTAGCAATACTGAGCTAATGAAGGGTTCAGAAGCGACCAGAATCAGATTTATTTATCAAACATTACTTTTTAAATATTTCCTTGCTTATTTTGTGGTGCAGACGTGAGGGAGTGGGCATGGAAGATGTGTGAGCCACAGTGTGCTGGTGGAGGTCACAGGACAACTCACAGGAGTCAGCTCCATTCCCCTGTGTGGGCTCTAGGAAGCAAACAGTCACCAGGCATGGTGGCATGTACCTTTAAACTGTTGTCATCTTGACTGGTGTCAGACTGTCAGACATAGATATAGCAGGCTTGTCTCAAGGACAGGAAGGTAAGGCTGGCTCTAATAGTTCTAGCACTCATGGACAGCTCACCCAAGATGGAAGTCAACTGTTCTTTGTGTGTTCCTATATGTATAAGCAGGAGTCAGGCTTTCTCAGCACCATGTGCAGAACCTGCAGGTCAGCTCAGCCCTGCATCTGGCTGAGCAGGCTGGAGACTGACATTATTGTGCCTGACCCAGCTTCACCGGAACAATGTTCCTGAGACCATTGTCTCCCATTGGACTGACCTGTTTGCTGATATGTGACCAATTTGTCTATGGGTAATTTTCCTGACTGCAAATTGATGTAGGAGGGCTTAGCCCACTATTGGTATAGTCTCTAGGCAGGTGGTATCTCTTGGGTTGTATAAGAAAGGTGGCTGGAAGCCTTGGAGCAATCTATTAAGCAGCATCCCTCTGTGTTTTCTGCGTCAAGATCATGGCCTTGAATTTTTGCTCTGGCTTCCCTCAATGTTAGATTACCCTGCAAAATGAAATAAGCCATTTTCTCCCCAAGTTGTTTGTGGTCATGGCCCTTATCACAGCAACAGACAAACAAACTAGAACACCAGCTGAGCCATCTCCCTGGCCCAAGACTCACTTCTTTATCCCAATTTCAGAGTGTTTTAGCTACATGACACTGACGTCTGTGTGTGAGAAGTGTATGCTTTTCATATCTCACTATCTCACTCAAACTCCATCCACTAACCCCCCCTCCATCCACTAACCCCCCCTCCATCCACTAACCCCCACTCTATCCTGTAACCCCTACTTCATCCTCTAACCCCTACTCTGTCCAGTCCACAGGCCTTACTTTTCCTGTCATTATATATTCAGAACAGCAAGTTAAAGGGAAGACATGAAGACAGGAAATATTTGAGGATGCAAAAGCCTGTGTAGTTCTCTTCCTTTACTCATTACCCACATGATGTTTCTCTACACATCCTTCAAGAACCTACTCAGAAAGCACTTTGTGATAAGACTATCACAAAACAGGAAATGAATGTTCAGAAACTATTATCATACCAACTTAATGGGTAACTCAGCATCAATTCAATGTAATGATAAAATTTGGTCTCCTATTTCACATGTTTTAATATGTTGCAGTTTTAAATTTATTTTCCCAGAAATAGATTTACTTAGATGCTACAAAAAATACCATTCTTTATGAGACTGAATGTCAAACAACCTCTACATTTAAAGGGTTCAGGTGGCAAGGTGGCATCTCATTAATAAAGCACTCCTGCTCTTCACTGTGTTTAAGATCTGTCCAATCTGACCTGAGCGTTCATAGGACTCTCACCTTCTCCTCTGTGCACTGAATCACTTGTGTGTTTATCTCATTCCTTCTACATTACAATTCCCTTGACAAGTTGTGTCCACAGCATCTTACAAATGACACATACCTCCAAGTTATACTAACTGACTGGGCAGAATAACATTGCTGTACATAAGTTTTCATAGTTTTGAAGAGGGAAGAAGTAAAAAACAGATTTTTTCCTCCTCAATTCAGTCATGGTAAATCTTGAAAATATAGGTAAGCCACATCAGATTTCAAGTATTATACATAAATATTTAGATCTACATGGACACAGGATGATCTGTTTTTGCCTCGTGCTAAGCTAATAAATTGTCAAAATTGTGCGTTGATTTTACAGGTCTAATAACTCTACAAACCATTGAGGTTTCAGGACAGGCCTGCTTTATTCCCTATTAATGGTGGTCTACTCAGACATGCACACTGATGTGTGGATAACAGTACCTCCATGCAGCAGATGTGAATACAACACCAGAGTTCCTGATAACAATCTTATTGCTCATTAGGGAAACGGGAACAAAGTATTCCCTAGAATAAGGTCAGGTCTAGGCCCCACTCACCAAAGTAATCATCAGAGGGTGGATTTTCCATGTCATACAGCATCTTCTTGGTCAGGTGTTCGAGTTCATCTTCTGGACGGAACGATGGGGGAACCGAAGGAGGTCCCATAGGCCCAGGGTATCCACTCTGAAAGGAAGAAAGCACATAGCCATTTTATTGTAGTCTAGACATCCAATACAGCAATCAGCTTAACCAAGGAGTATTTGTCCTGGGGAGGAAGCAGGACAGGTCCATCCATTTGTAGATTTGTATTGTGTACTAAAATTTATCACTTAGTTGGTGTCTGACCATTGACATTTCACTTTATTTACTTCTCTTTTTAGATGAGTCTACCAAACTATAGAATTTATGTTTCCAATAGTAGGAATCTGATGTTTCAATGACTGCTAAGAAGTTGTCAGGTTATTGCTTGCGTATTTATTAGCAGGATGACCAATAAAGACAGTACAATCCACAGGAAAGTCTGCAGGCACATCCATAAAGGCAGAGCATCTGTCGAAAGTGCACTGTCAGGGGTTAAGGGAAGGGGTTAAGGGAGAGAATGCAAAGAAAGAGAAACAGTACAGAAGACTTCTTACACCCAAGGGTAATACCTCAGGTACAATAAAAAAGCTCCCAGCCATTGTGTTTTCATGTTCAAATACATTTAAGATGGGAAATAAGATGAATCTTATTGGTTCCTGAGATCTAGAAAGCAAAGAAATTTTGTCCCAGTTAAGGAAGCTATTTTTCTTCCCAGAGTTTTAAGTAGGCAGACATCAGAAAGGATGAAGTTGCCAGTAGTGTTCACATAGGCAGGTGAGACTGCAGAACTGCAGTGTAAGAGGATGAGAATTCAGGCAAGAAAGGATCTGAGACAATCAATCAAAATCACAACATGTGCAAAGAAAAAAAGGTCAGATGTTAGAGGTGAAGTAGCTTTATGCTACACACATGAAAGGGAGCTTACTAGATTTCCCTTTCCTACATTTTGATGTGTCATTATCAATCCAGAATCTTTAATTAGGAAATAAAACACAAATAGTTTAGAAACGAAGATAGCACTGGTCACTGTCACTGGGAAGAGAGGTAGAGAGTGCGCTTGCTTGGTGTTTGTTCACACTCTTGCAACAGCTGGGTGAGGCTTTCTGTCTTCAGAATCACATAAAAGTAAGTCCTACAAAGCCCAAAGCTGTATATCCATTCTCCCACCATGTTCAGTGAATACCAGGAGTTATTAGGCATGAAAATTCTGTAAACAAAGTCTTCAAGCTGTTATCATGCCTGATTCCAGTTTTACTTATTTGAGTGATGTCTAAGGCATGACATGCCATCTCGATATGACTAAGCCGTCGTTGGTTGTGTTTAAGTCGTTTGTGTATACTATTTTCTGGTGTTTGTGATATACATAAACCATGTAGTAGTAGAGACACGCAGAAAGCAGAGAGCTCCAGAAACACCTTGGTTGGCCACTACTCTGGTTCTCGGAGAACTTTATTCTGTTAGAATAGTTGCTTTAGAGATAGGAAAGGAATGGACAAACCATGGCCTGTGTCAGCTGCATGAAGTCTTCTTTGTGAGACAGGAAAACTGAAAGGCCAAAAGATCAGGGCAGGGCTAGTAATGGTGACATCAGGACAAGACACCATGCTGGACTAACTCAGCTATCCAATGAACATTAAATTTAGAGTAACTTCTTAACTGCTGAAAGTATTTTGCCCTAAAAGGGTTGTAGTATACCTTAAAGAAACTATTGAGTTGCTGGCGTTTTAGTTTATCCTTTCATTCTTCTTCCTCCATTTTGATTAGTTCTTTGAGAACTTAGTATAATATATTTTGATCCTGTTCATCGCACCCCGAATGCCACCAGATTCATTCTACTTCCCTACCCGTTCAACTTTGTATCCCTTAAAACAAAGCCCACCAGTAAATCTGTGCTACCCACATACCCTCAGATGTTTGATGTACAACAGGAGTATGTTTGACCTACCATGGCCTACACAGTTAAACAGCGAAGATGGGAAAGGGGCCAGTTGCTTTCTTTCAGATGTGCAATAAAAGGCGAGGCTGAGCCCGGATTATGTTGGCATCTAAACCCAAATTCTACCTATACCTTTTCTCCCAGCCAGGTATTATACATTGCTTCCAACCGAGAAGCACCACAAAAGCACCAAATGTCACTGCTAAGAGCAGCAATGCTAGCTGTTTTAACTCATTCAACAGGTATTAAAGATCACATGATAATCCTGCATCCAGAGAACAAAATTTACTATTGCTTTAGACTAAGTATCCTATCTTTCTCAATAAACAAGAAGAAACTAAAACCATCTGCCACAAGACTAATCCAGAAATTTAGATTTTCTACCCTTGGCACGTAGACTTCAAAACAGACTAATCTCAATGCACTCTTGTCAATACTTAACACATGTGGAAGGACCGTCCTTTTTACTCTTCAAATATTCTTGCCTATTTTGCCTGCCAAATTTAGAAAGGCTCTTTCCATTTAAATTCAACTTTTTGTATATTGGTGCCATTAGACTTATCATGGTGATAGGTCCTGATAAACTTATTTGTAAGTTGAAAACATTATAAGCCAAAGGAGCCTTTGATGTACCTCGCATGTTGGTCATCAGAGTATAATCATTGGCTGTTTGTCATGTGATATGTGGCCCAATGGTAGCTGTAGCCCAGTGCCACCACACAGCAGCTTGAGAAAATATTAACTTGGAAGAAAGAAAGAAACCTTAGATTTGTCTTCTTTCTATAGAATGGATGCCATGTTTACAAAACAAAGATGAAAAATTGCTAGTGGAATCCGAGTTAAGCTAGGAACAAAATCTGCACCATTAGTTGGTATGAGGAAGGATCTAGATGATGTCATAGTATTTCTGAATTTTGTCTGTGAGACTCTCCCACCTTCCCATGCAGATATAATACTGACCCCCTGTAGAACAAATGCTGGGAAGCCACAAGAGTCTTTAGGAAAGAGTTGCGTTTTACCCCAAGGAAGAGAGCCAGGGACATTGAGTTCAATCCTTTAAGAAGTTGAGTATTTTACTTCTCACTCGGGTAGGCAGATTATCTCTGTAATTTCTCTCCCCTGATAGAGATTAGTGCTTATGATGTCTTAAGGAAAACGAACAACTGTGTCCAACTCATTAATTTTCAAATGAGCAATTCACAGCACAGTTTAAGATAAGAGCATAAAATTGAAATATCTGAAGGGTCACTGGGATGAGATGATTCCCACTGTTTTCTGAGCTCGTGCTTCTGGAGTAGAAGTATGAACAGTAGTGGTGAAATGTTCACTGTGTTTCAGTGATTCCTAACTTGCATGACCCTTTCCTAGATGCTTACTTTCACATGCAAATAATCTTAGGTGCTTAGGTGATGCCCCTGTTTGACATGCAAACCTGCTTTATAGAAGAGAAAATTGCACAGGTCAAGTGGGTAAGTGGGCAACTCTGTAGTAGACTACCTCTGAGAAAAAGTAGATCAGACTCTATGGTGAAGCAAGTTTGTATATTTGCTACAATGTATGCCTCTCAGTGTTCTCTACTTGTGTCTCCCAGCCCATCTAACTGCATTATTTGATAACAATTTAGATTGATATCTATTTACTCTAGTATAAGCCATGATTTTTATGTATATGAATTAAAGTTTACTGCTCAGTGTGGAACAAATTAAACCAGCCTATCTATTTCTTGGGATAATAGATGTTCTTTTAAATATTCATATTAACTACTAGTATGTGTGTTCTTTGAAATGTCTGAATCACTTAATAAAGGTATAGGAGCATCATAGGCCGCAGAGGTGAGTTGTCAAGTGCACAGATTTCAGATAACGCCAAAGTTTCCTTACCCTACACTTCCTAGGAAATGGCTAAGTGCCAAGAACTGCAAATAACAAATCCAATTAAGAGTTTCTACCTCTGACAACTTAAAAGAGTTGTATAAAAATAAGACCCACAGTAGATAATCACAAAAATGTTTAGAGACTAAGATGCAAGTATGATTCCAGTGTTCGGTGTGCCAGGAGAAGGGTGCTGGAAGACAAGAGCCTTTGTTTTTGAAGGATAGATTAGATTTTATAAGACAGAAAAAGGAAGAAAAAAAGAAAAGTGCATAGGAACATGAAATGTGCATGGAAGAAATGGCAAAATGAAGAAGAAAGAGAGCTGTAAGGAAGACTGCAGCCAATGCCAGATCTTCATTTTAGCAGAGAACATAATTATGAGATTTTATGTAGCAAGGTTATTCAAAAACAGGACTGGGTGGTGGTTCAACTTGCTTTGCAACCATGAGGACTTTAATTCAATCCCTAGGATTTATGTTAAGAAAAATAGACATTATTTCATAATGCTAGTCATCTCAAGGTTGAGAAGGAAGAGCTAGGCCTACCTACCTAGTGAGCTGCAGGCACACACACAGGCACACACACACACACACACACACACGCACACACACACCAAGTATTTGCCAGTAAGCTTGATACAGAGTAAGTCTGAACCCCCAAATCTACATGGTAGAAGGAGAAACGGGAGCTCACAGGTTATTCTCTGACATCCATATGCACACCATGGCATCCACTTCCAAATAAACAAACAAAAGAAAAAAAATACTTTGTGCCTTACAAGGTGGGTCACTCACTAAAGGTACCTGTTCCTAAGTCTGATCCTCTATCAGAGCTTATACCTGGCACTCACAGGGTAGAAGGGTAAAGAAAATCCACTCCTACTCATTGTCCTCTGTACTCCAAATGTGTGCTATGGTAATGTAATTAAAATATGGAAACAAAACCAAGGTGGATTACTCTTGAATAATGATGCCCAAAGTTGTACTATGGCTTCTACACACATGTGTACATAAGAGCATGAGTATGCAAGCACATATACACACACCCACACACCGAGAGAGAGAGAGAGAGAGAGAGAGAGAGAGAGAGAGAGAGAGAGACAGAGACAGAGACAGAGACAGAGACAGAGAGAGAATTTCCCAGATACGAGGGTATTTCTGCTCAATTTTAAAAGGTTTTGATATTTACTTAGTGTGGCTAACTACTGATTTCTTTCTTGTGTCTAGGCTCACAGGAAGTATGGCTGATTCCCAGTTTGAAGTTACCATGTGAGGCACAAGAAGGTGGGGGCT